GCAGTGCAGGCTGCTAGGTTATCAATGCGAATTAGTAATAATTTGGTTCATTTTTATCGTGTACGTTTCTTGTTATATTATAAAGTTTGATAAACAAAAAAAAATTATCTATAGGAATTTTTCAATGCCAAAAATATGAATGTAATTTATATTTGTATTAAAATACAGAAAATGTTAGAAACTTGATACATATACTACATTATTAAGATTATAATATAGTATGAATCATAGGTAAATGACGTAATGGTTAATTAGTAATGTAGGTGAGTTTGGTGAAGCTTGCTGACATAGACCTTCTGGTATATATTTAAGCATGACATCATATAAGAACTTACACTTCCAGGTTTCTATATATATATTTATATTAAAACGCTTCTGGAACTAAATATAGGTTTCATCTCATTAAACTATATTCTTGTTATCACAGTGAACGTAGAAAAACTAGGGTGTTCGAAAAATAACAATTACTGTAAAAATTATTTCTCGTTATTTTCGGCGAATTACAAAGTGAGGAGGCAGTGCAGCAATGAGTAATTAGTACCAGGACAATTTGGCAGAATGGTTTTGTTTCCTTTTGGACAAATTACACTATATCTTGTGATAATGCTATAGTACAACTGTATATCTTATCATATTGCCTCATGCCTTGCTTCGCAAAACAACAAAATTGGGTTTATGCATGTGCTCATCCGCTGAATCAATGCATTTTAACCATATTATAGGTTTTAGTTTTTGTGTATTGATTTATGGCATTACTTGTTTCTTGTATAGAATTTGCTTAATTAATTTACAGTTTAAGTTTACTTTGATCAATGAGTTAGTGTTCGTTTGATCAGAAATTATTGATAATATTGTTGTTCTTTCGTTGGCGGGATATTTTAAATGATTTGGGGGTAAATAATTCAACGTTCAGTCCACGTGACGAGAAAAAATTACTTTATTTCCTTCTTTAACGTTCTACAAGCTTGAACACTTGTACACCATCGTAACTTGTTGAAGGCCTAGGTAACAAATGACGTTCAGACCTCTCTGACATTATTAGAAGTAACGTAATATCAAGTTACGTGTACAAAGTAACTCAATAAGCACAATAGCAAACACAGATCCAAATACTTCACGACAACACACTGACTGATTCAACTCTTATGATAACTGCACACTTTACTATCTTTTTGAAAAACTCACTACAGTTTTCACAACTCTATCGTATTTGTAATCTACCTTCGAACGTACGAGAAAAATTTGACATCAACTTAGAACTTTCTAGGCATATCTTAACATCAGGCGTCCTCTAACTATGATAAATATTAAAACCTGAAAATATAGCTTACAACAATATTAACAGGAGATGGAAAAAGGATTGTTTTGTAACCTACAGGAAACAGAAGTTGTGGGAACAATTATGTTGGTTGTCGTCTTGCGGGTAAAGGAATTGCCACTTAAAGTACTTAATAAATCTGATTGGTTAGGAAGGCAAATATTAGATCTCATCCACGAGGCATTTTTTTAATGTTGTGGAACCTTAACATTTTTTATCACCATTCACTGTTCTGAGGATTAAGTTATCACCTTCTGACTGTATAAAAATAATTCGTTTATAATGTACGCATTTATTTATTTAACTGTTTTTGTTTTGTGTGTGTTGATGGACTTGTTCAATAGAATGCATGACACTTTCAGTCGTGTATTGTAAGTTGTACAGTTTAGAATCTGTAATCCTATATCAATATGTTTAAAAGAAAACTGTTTTAGTTTATTATTATTACTTTTAAGCGTTAAGCTGCTCAATATGGGCTTAGCATGGCCTGGTGGTTAGGGTGTCTGACTCGAAAATTGCGGTCATGGGTTCGAATTCCCGTCACACCAAACATGCTTGCCCTTTCAGCCGTGGGGGTGTTATAATCTCACTTTTCGTTGGTAAAAGAGTTAGCGGTGGATGGTGTTGAGTAGCTGCCTTCCATCTAGTCTATCACTGCTAAATTAGGGACAGCTAGCGCAAATAACCCTCATGTATCTTTGCGCGAAATTTAAACCAATACGCAATGGGTTATCTGCACTATGGGTACCCGGGTAATGAACTTTAGCATTATAAATCTACAAGCTTACCGCTGAGTCGCGGGGGAAGGAGAAAATTTCATAACTATTGTTGCATATCTGCTTGTTTGTTAATTTCCCGTAGAAATTCCTTCCGAGAAACTTCAGCGATACAAGTCCTTTCTTAATTAGAACTAGTTTATTCTTTCTCGATACAACTTTGCAATACACAGAATTTCCACAGTCACTTTAAACTTAACTACTTTTATAAACACATGGTAT